CGGGGTCCAGGGGCAAGGACAGGGAACTCAAGGAGCTGCTCGCAGAGGGAAGGAGGCAGGCTGGGCACACAGGGATCTGCATATTCTCTCTTCTCCTGGACACCAGACAAGTCCCGTGGCCAGGCATATCCAAACCCAACTCTGCACTGTTCCTAGGCCAGGAGCTGAGACACTGCCCGGTGCTGGCTCGGGCGGCGTCTGCTCCAGCTAGCCAGCCCCCAAAGCAGTGGAAAAACTCACTCCACGTGGAGCCGCCAGGACTAAGGCTGCCAACCACTGGTCCCGCCAGCGTGGTCCCCACCAGCCAAGTTCAAGTCTGCACAATCCTCCCAGATGCCTCTGAGAGCTGTCATAGGTGCCCGGGAACAATGTCTCAGGTGGAGGGAGACACAGGACCTCTGGTCACCATCAGGAGCAAAGTGACAGCTTTTCAGGACAGTGGGTCTCATGGTGGAGAGGGACAGACAGAAAGGCAGGAGGAGCCTGCGTTGACCCAGCAGGACAGCACCTGGGCGAGGCAGGCCACGGCTGGCTTGGACTCCCTGGACCTTGAGACTCCTGGCTCAGGGCTCTGGCACCTCCCCATCATCTCCTTCTCCTTTAAGGCCCCAGATGGCAGAATCTGTGGCTTGAGTTCTTGTCCCTAATGCCCAACACAGGACCTGGCCCCACACAGGTGTTCCAAGAGGGCTGGCTGAACCAAGGAATGACCGCCAGCCACGCATTTCCAGCACCAGAATCCCAGATCCTTGAGAGAAGAACTGAGAAGAAGGAGGAGGCATGGGGAGCCCGTGAGCAGGGGTGGCAGAGACCCTCCCAGCCCCAGTCTGGGAGCTGAGTCTGGGAGCTGGTACCTCTGTGCCATTGATCCAAGGCTCTGTGACCCGCTGGCTCTTCCCCTCCTCTCCCAGTGAGAGCCAGACAGGAACGAAGACTGGGAAGTGGAACTGGGAGTCCAGGCATCTCCACACAGAGTAGAATGTGGGTCAGGGAATTGGAGGCAGGGGCCTTGCGATCCCCCTTCACCCTCCCGATGCTGGGTGCAGCAAGGGCACCTCTGTCCCCTTGCCCACTCCCTGATGCTTCTCCAGGGAAGAAGTCTGGATCAGCAGCCTGGCAGAGGGGACACCCAGGGGTAACTGGAGTGGACCTCAAACACCTGTGCCTGCTCAGGCTTCCTGCTCAGGTTCCCTTCATGGGGCAACCAGGCAGACAGAGTGCCAACTGGGGGTCCAGGATCCAGTTCTGGCCCCTTCAGCCTCAAACCTGCTGGGTGACTATACGCAACGAGCGATGTCCACTCCCAGGATCTCAGTTCCCTCATTTCCCAGGGAAAGGGCTGGACAGTTTGACTTCTCCAACATTCTATTCCCCTGTGGGTGATTCTACAGGTGCCCTGGGGACATGTGGTCTTTGCTAAACTCAGGCTGGACAGGACAACACCATCCTTGACCCATTCACTTTCAGTAGGAGCCAGGATCCCAACAGCATGCTGAGCCTGCAGGACAGGGAAGAAGACTGACCTGCAGAGGGGGGGCTGGGGGCAGTTGGAATCAACTGCTTGGTGGGGAGGAGGAGGCTGGCATCTAAGGTCTTCTCCATGCCCACATGCCTTCTCCTGTCCCTTCAGGGCACTTTGCTCCTGGACTAGCACTTAGCTCACTAGCATCTAACCTATCATGGCACAACCTGAGAAGAGGAGCACCTGTTTGCTGTAAGCCACCTTCCTTACCTAGAAGCCCCACCCCTGGTCACATCACAGTCAACAGCCAGGAAACCACTCCAAAGGAACTCTGAGCAGCAAACAAGGGTACAAAGTCCTGCATCCCAGCTCGCGGGCTGGTCCTACAGCCTGGTAACCTGCACTTTACACACAAAAATCCTAGTGCGCGCCGGTCTCTGCTTTTCCAGTGGACAGTAGTTTAGAAACATATTTCAAAGTTGGGAAGCATGGTTCGTCTGGCATGTGACTGAGATGGAAGAGATAAAAAAAAAAAAACTGTAAAAAATGCAGGCACGAGCAAAATCACCAGGAGCTGCTAGTCACCGGAAGCATCCTTCATTCCTCATCCCTGACTTGCCCCCCGGAAGCACCATGGACCAAAATGGGGAGGGGGTGTACCCTTGACCTCCTGTGGTGGAGGTCTGTGGCCTGGGAAACTACATCTGCTTCTTCCCTCTGCTCTTCCTTCTTTTTGCTTCCATTCTTCTTCTCCTTCCATAAGGAAATGAAGGAAGCTGACTAAAATCCAGACCAAAAAAAAGAGTTTCAAACATCATGACCAGGAAAATGTCATCAGGGTAGAAGGCCACAGTCCAGAGACCAGCATGGCTGCATTCCTAACGCTAGTCAAGGCAGAAATCCCTCCAGGACAGCGTCCCTCCAGGTTTTCCGTGTCTTTCACAAGGAAGGGCACTAAGTGTGCTTAGAAGAGACAGGTGCTGCTGAAGATCTAGCCACTTCTCCTGTTTTCGTCTTCTCTGCTTTCCAGGCCTCTCAGAGCTCTTCGCTGCTGCAATCTGCACTGCGATCTGACACAAAGGGGCAGAGGGACCCTGCACCGCCTACCTACCACCTCCACGCTCCTTTTAGGGTTCTCCTCCATACCTGCCAGGGGATCAGATCACCCCAGACAACAACAAACCCTGATCTCCGTGGGAGATGACATCACCAGAGCCGAAGCCATTCCAAAGCTCAGCCCAGGGGCCTAGAGGTCACCAGAGCCCGTTCCTGCATCTACAGATGGCCAAGGGCAGAAGTGACTGATCCACGGTTGCACAGCCTGTAGGTGGCAGATTCAGGACTAGAGGCCAGGCCTTCTAGCTTGAGGGGCTGGTGAACTCTCCTAGCCCAAGGGGGAGGAGTCCTTCCAGCAGGGCTGGCAGGCAGCAGGAGGTCCCCAGGTCCTCACCTGTGTGGCTCCTGCCCTCTCTGTGCCCCACAGGAGCACTGCTGGTCTGTGAAGGGTCGGCACCGGGGGAGAAGACAGGGTTAATCGGTGGTGGGGATTTTCATTAATCCTCTGAGCAGGCTTAATCTCAGGCCACACTGGTTGGAGAGCAGAGGTGAGAGACTGGGAAGGCTTGCTGGGGGCTGGGCACAGGGTGGTTAGTGAATAATCCCTGGAGGCAAAGAAGCCAGGTCTGCCAGTGGCTTATCAGGCAACTGAGCCACCTTCATGGACTCCTGTCCCATTCCTGCCTAGGGTTCAGGCCTCCAAGCAGTGCCCCTCCACTGTGAAAGTCCCCCAATCCCCGGGTGCTCAACAGTGCAGAGCAATGGGAAGATCACTGGCTATAGATTGAGACAGGCCTAAGAGCAAACCCTACTTGCTGGGTGACTTAGGCAAGTCACTTCACCTCTCTGAGCTTCACCTTCTTCCTCAGCTAAAGGGAGCTGAGCACACCTTTGTTGCAAGCCTTCTAGGAAGGAAGGCTGTGTGAATTCAAGTACGTGAAGAGACACAAGGAGTGCCAAACCAACCCTCTGTATTATTATTACAATTCTCACATCTGTTATTTCTCTATCCAGGCCCATTCTTTACTCTTCTGCCCTAGTCCTCTAGCATCTTTGGCATTAATAACATTGATGACAATAATCTAGTCCAGCTGAACAACATTTGTATCGTTTCAAAACACTAAGCATCCTATCCCCTGTGGGTTACAAAAGTGCCACCAGAAGCAGCCAGAGCTGAAGTAGCCCCTTGGCCTTCAAGTGTATCTTCCTACAATGCTCCCAAGTCTCAGAACCAGGGACAATGGCAAAGTCTGGAGTTGAGCCCAAGCACCCTGAGCAAGCATACTGTCCCATGATAGATATCATGAGAGCCTGGGTAGCCTCTGGCTTATAAGAAGGAGCAGAACTGCCCCTCCCCATTGCCTGTACCCCTGGCCTGCAATCTGGCCCCACTGCTCTGGCCACAAGCAGACTGCCTGCCTGGCTTTACTCTTGGACTCCCCAGTGGCCAAGGCCAGCTAAACAGCTGGAAAAGATGGAGTCTGGCCTTGGTGCATGGATCACTAAACCCAAGGCCGAGCCCAAGACCAAAGCCAAACTGTGAGCTCTGTACTCTGACAGAACCTTTTGGAAAGTGTGGGTTCACACCCTGATCTCTCTGGTTCTCCAACTGCCTGTCACACCCCTAGGACTCATCATTCTCACATTACACAAGAGGAAACTGAGGCCCAAAGTAGAACCCCCCCCCCAAGGTAACCCAAAGGATCTGGGGTAGAGCTGAGCTGGGGTCTCCCCTGATGGCTTAACCCTGGGCACTTTTCACTGCCCCAGCTGCTTTGTCCTCCCTGCACCAGGAAGCCCCCAAAGTTCTCCAATAAACCTGGGTCCCATGCAAGTCCTGAGAATCCTCTTCAAACATGGGGGCTGCCAGGGTACCCACTTTCCCCTTCCCTGACACACTCCCTCCCTGCATCGTCCAGCTGCCCACAGCCTGAGCTTCCCCGCCACTGGTAGTTACTGGGGGGACAGGGCAGCAGCGCCTTGGTCAGAGGATGGCCTTGGAGTGGGGCAGGCCTCCTGGGATGGGGGCAGAGGCCGGCAGGTGGGGTGGGGCTTCCTCTCCACGGGCCACTCAGGGTGGCAAGACCATTCCTACACCACTTTTCACCCCAGTCTCTGCCAGCGACGCTCCTGTCGGCGGGCTCCACTGAGGGACATCAGGGAGCCGGCAGCTCCACAAGGCTCTCCAGGGGTTAAAAATGCAGCATCCTAAACAAGGGTTAAAAATGCAGTCCCGGGGCTGGGCCGGGAGCTGAGGGATGTTGTCCAAATCACAAGGGCTGCCAAAGCGGCATCCTCCCCCTACCTCCGCAGTCCTCGGGCTGAGCGACTCGAGCGACTACTGGGGGAGCAAGTGAGGCGCGCGCCGCACCTTCCCGGCCCCGCCGCCCACTCCCCACGCCTACACCCGCGCCCCGCGCAGCCCTTGCCTGGGGGCTGCAGCGCCTGCGGGTCCCGGGCGCGGCAGGCGATCTGCGCTTACCTTTGTGACAGTCATGCAGAAAGTCGGCGGCAGTGCGGGCGCGGGCGCGGCGTGCGGGGGCGGCGGCGGGAAGGGTCCCGCGCTGCCAGGCAGCTCTCAGCGCGCTCCCCGCACCCCGCCGGCGGTCCGCCGAGCTGGGGCCCGAGCTCCGGGCTGGCAGCGCGCAGGGACCGCTCGTCCGCGCTCAGCTGCCGCTCGTCGCTGATGTCAGCCCCGACTGTGCATTTATAATAGATGAGCCTCCTTCGCCGCAGGAAGGCGAGGCAGGAAGAAAGGCGGCGAGGGAGAGGGCCCGGGTTGGGGGCGGGGAGGAAGAGGGGCCGGGAACTCGCTACAAAGGAGGAGGCGGAGGGAGAGGCGGAGGAAGCGCAGCCCGCTGCCGTCGGCCCCGCGCTTCCCGGCTCGGTCGCCCGCCGCCGGGCACTGGTGATCCCGGGGCAGGCGTCCAGGCCCGCGGCTTAACCCCTTAGGGCCCGCGACACAGCGCGGTTGGCGAGGGCGGCTCCTGGCACCTGCCAGCTAGGGGAGTGGGCGGCGACCCGGCTCTCGGGTGCCCCGTTGGCTCGGGGACGCTGGTGAAGTCACAAGCTGGACGGCCGAGGCGCCGCGCGCGGGCCGCGAAGACAGTCGGGCTCGCCCCTTGCAGGTCCGAAAAGTCTGCCCCGGGCCGGGAGCTAGGCGCGGCGGGTGAGGGGCGTGGCGGCCGCCAGCCCCGACCCTGCCAGCACCCTGCAGCGTGCAGACCCCCGCGCGCACGGTCGCACACGGTCACCAGACGGACCGTGTAAGCAGATCTTTGAATCTAATTCCTGCAGCAGTTAGCTCGTTCCAAGGCAATCGCGGTCAATTTTACAAAGGACCAGAGTGGGAAGTGACACATGACCGTGCCAGCCCAAGCCGACTCTCTTGGCGCCCTCTCTCAACTTCGTCGCAAGTTCCCTAAGGAACCCTGGTAATAAAAGCTGAATTTTAGGGACTGGACGGGCCCTGCCCAGGGGAGTCTGCAGTACTCTGGAGGGCCGCGCTTCTCGGGGCACCCACAGGTGAGTCTGTAGAGAGGGAATCCTGACCCAGTCACCCGTACCCTGGAGCTGCTGCAGGGATTTGAGGGGCAGTCACCAACCGGAGGGTGACCTCGCCAAGTCTTGAGGAAGAAATCTCCCTCCTGAGTACCTGGGCAGAATCGGTTTGGGCAGATAGGGAGTCCGCTGGCAGTGAGGAGGGAAGGAGTGGGCAGCGTGAGGCAGGGGGCGTCCACCTCGCCTATCTCCCCTCCCCCTGGCAAGCCAAAGCTCTGCCCCTCGCTATTCTACCCAGCAGTTCACAGGGACCTCGATGGCCACATTATGTGAGCACGTGCTGTGAGGAGGGTGCTGGGAAGGCGAGGAGAGCGGGGCCTGCCTTCCCTGAGACCAAGTCCATACTAGAGCAACTGTAATAGAAGATAATAGAGTGATGTCATCTGCAAAGAGCTTTGTAGATCCGCTGATTTCTTTTACATTTGCTTGGGTAGCTCCAAATGCAATAATGTGAGGAGGGGCCATCCCCTCTTGGCTGACCAGGAAACAGATTTGCAGAGGGGAGAGACTTGGTCACCCTCATACAGAGACAGACCCAGGACTTGAACCAAACTCTTCCTAGATCCATCCTAGGGTTGTGCTTTGAGCCTCTGAATGCCAGGGCCCTTGTACACCCACTGCCTTATTTGAGCTTCCCAGGTGTCTGGGGAGGTAGGTGGGCAACTGCTAGTCCTCAGCTAAGTCTCAGGGACTTATTAAATCTCTGTAGCAGCTGTGGCCATAGGCCTTAGTCATCTCCTCTGGGCCAGACCCTTCCTGGGCTATTTCCATGTTGAATCTCATGCCTTTGACCACAGTTAGCCCCTGCCTGGAATGCCCTCTTTATTCTCTGCACCAACCAGATGCCCTCACCTCGGATAGCCCCACCTCCTTGCCACCTCACCTGACAACTCTAGCCCCCACACCTCTGTGCTGCTCCATTTAGTTCTGAGGGTCTGGTCTAGTTTCCAGGAGCTTCCTGTCAGTATCCATAGTGAGCCCCTAGCCTCTGGACACAAGGGCCAGCCTTCTCTTACAGTGTACCCCTGGGCATACATTAAGTACTAAGCAAATATTTAATGCCACCAAGAACAAAATTAACCTTCAACCAGCAGAAGAAATGTAAATTAGGTCCACAAAAGCATTTCCCATCCGGCAGCTGTGCAGCATTTGGAAGTGGTCAGTTTCCGTGTCTAGATTGGGATAATCTTGGATAGGTCGGCCTCAGGACAGGACACTTCAACCCCAGGACCCCATTGGAAACCATTAAAGGGCAACTCAAGAACACCAGTCACTCTGCACCCACGGCTGTGGCTTGTCCACTTTTATCTCATGGATATTTCAAATTCCAGTTTGTCATCCTTGGCTACCCAGCATGCCTCTTGGCACCATCCCCGCCATCCGCTGTTGCTGTGGGCTCTGGGAATGAGACAGATACTTAATATCAGCTTGAGCCAAATGTAATTAGGAACATCAATCTGCTGCCCCCAGTCCACGTGACACGCTCCGAGACGAAATGTTTCTTTATCTCTTATGTGCTGCCGGTTTGCCCCTTCTGTCACATTTCCCCAGTGAGCATTGAGGTCTGGATGAGGAAGGGCCTTCCCAAAGAACTCTGGTCCCCTTGTGTCAGGTCAAGGGTTCAGCCCAAAGTGGAAACTCAAATGTGTGCCATTTCCATGGTGCCTCCTTCCATGGGCGTCCAGCATACAGCCCATCACAGCTGGGTCACCCAAAACAGAGTCTGAGAAAGGAGATGGATACAGGGGATCTAACTGGAAGGTGATCCCAGGAGTTGAAAAGGGGTGGGGTGGGGTGGGCGGTGAGATTGGAAAAAAGCGAAAGCCAGCATGAAGCTGTGTTCTCAAGGTCACTTGTGGGGGGGCCCCAGGGTAGAGGGCTCAGTTCCCCCGAGACCTCCAGGACAGGTGCAGAATAGCCTGGCAGGCGTGGGTCATGGAGAGCAGCGTGTTCCTCTGTGCTCCTCTCGCCCTTTGTTTGAGAGCTGTCCTTGAGAGCACTCCCTCATACTGCAGGGCTGTGCTGTGAGGTGGGCAGTGCTGGCCCCTCAGCTTCAGAGACTGCCCTGGGGAAGGAAGGGAGGAGTTCCCAGCTCTTACTTGAGGTGGATGCTGTCAGCTGTCAGCTCTCAGATCATCCACTGGGCTTCAGGAGGAATCAGAAGTAGGCTACGCTGAGGGCATTTGTTACATATTGTGGAGTAAATAAGCCCCTGCAATGCCAGCTTTGATCTCTTCTAGATGCTGTCATGCCTCAATGCTTTGCCATGCTTTTTCTTCAGCCTCCAGTCCTTTACCCCTTGTTAGCTCTGCAAACTCCTTCTCATCCTTCAAAGCCCAACACAAACGTTACCTTCTTTATGTAGCTCTCCTGGTGCTACCTCCACAGAAGTCTGATTGACACTATATTATATATCCTGATGAAACATTTCTTCTTTTTATGGGCTGTGATCATATGTGCCCCCCCTCCAGCTACTAGATTGACACAGAGGAAATGCTGGATAACTGCCCAACAGATCCAACAAGGCTGCCATGAGCACCTTTAGTATCTTCCTTTATGAATGACCCTCTGGTCCCAGCTCTGCACAGCCAGGCACCAGGGCCTCTCCACAAGAGCCTCTGCCCTGCCTTGTGTGTTCATTTGCCCAGGCCTCCTACTAGGTGCCACTGTACAGAGTGAGGAGGGCTTGGTCTTTGTCTGCAAGAAGCTCACAATCTCTTAGGAAAGACCCACAGATGTGGGCACCCATCCCATATTATGGGTAGGCACTACTTTGCTGCAGGGACTGAGGGAGATTCCAAAAGCCATGGAACCATAGGGGGAGGTGCTTCTCTAGCCCTGGCTGGCTGCCTGGTGCATGCCACTCATGATGCAGGTGCACATGCTGGCCACCCTCAGTTACAGGGTCTTCCAAGCCCCACAGGCCTCAGTCCCTGGAGTCCTCGAATCCTTCCCCTCCTGTCCATCTCCACTGTTACCACGCAGGCTTTTCTCTTGCTTGGGCCGCTGGATCAACCCTCCTGCCTCCTACCTTTTTTTTTTTTTAAAGAGAGAGGTGAGAAAGAGAGAGAGAGAGAGAATTTTTACTATTTATTTTTTTAGTTTTCGGTGGACACAACATCTCTGTTTGTATGTGGTGCTGAGGATCGAACCTGGGCTGCACGCAAGCCAGGCGAGCGCGCTACCCCTTGAGCCACACCCCTGCCCCTGCCTCCTACCTTGTGCTGACCTCTCACTCCCCACCCAGCCACTCCTGAGCTCCTGCTCAGAACGCACAGATCTGCCCACAGGAAACCGGCCTAGGGCTCTCCACTGTCCTCACAAAGAGGCGCCACCCCTTGTGTCTAGGTTCCCCGTCTCCCCTTGCCCTTCTCCCCCACGCCTCGCCGGCCCTTCATTCTTCCCTCCACATCATCTCCTCAGCCGCCTTCCTGCACAGGGCCAGGGGTTTGGTTGCCTGGCCTCTGAGCTCCTCTCCGCAGCTCCCTGGGCCTCCATCCCTCTGCGCCTGTGCAGGGCTGTAACATTTCCTGTTGTGTGCTTGACATGCTCCTGGGGAATGTGCTGCTTGAGGGTGACTGGCTCTTCCTCTTGGGAATGAGGCACACGCGGGTGCCTGCCCTGTCAGCTCTGGTCCCTGTCCTTCCCTGTCTTCCAGCCTCTCTCCCCCAGCACACGTCTCTGCTCCCACCCACCCCTGTTTCTCTGGGGATGTCGCCTTTCTGACTTCAGATCTGCATGTCTGTGTCTTCCTCACTGTGGCTCACTGACCCCCCACCCCCACCCCGCTGTGCTTTCCTGTTGTACCCTTCCCACTCACAGCCACTGCTGTCAGGCTGGGTACCGGGCTGTCCTCTCTCCACCTTCACATCAGGGTGTCAGGGTTCCTCTCTTCCTCCTGGCTCCCCTCTGGCTCTGTCCCCTCCACCATACCAGCTTATTTGCACTCCTACCCTCTCCGTGTGTTTCTGTCTCCATCTCCCTGTCTCTGTGGCTGTGTCTGTCTCTCTTCTTTGTCTTGTCTGTGGTCTGTCTTTGTCTTTCTCCACTGTCTCTATACCACATGCACAATGCTGACTTTGGCATGGGGAGCACTGAGACAGGTGGGGGCCCTCCCTGGGGTGTCATCTTTTCTTCACCCCATATCTGAGGGATGATGAGTGATGGGCCCCTGGCAGAGGCACATGTGGGGCCTCTGGGGCTGCATCGTTGACTGTGGGACACCCTCACCTGAGCAGCAAGGTCTTCTCCTTGACCCATTCTGTGAGCTTGTTGAACAGTGTGAGTACGTG